ACGTGTGAACTGGAAGGGTGTGGGGTAACGAATAGTTGGGTTATGGAACAGAATACCAAAATCTGTTTGCAACGGCTGTGTGCTGAGATTATCGTTCTCTTGATGCAGGAGACACGATCGCTGGGACAAGAGTTTTATTAGCCTGACGGTTCGGATCCCTGCTCGAATCCACCATCAGAGGCAAATCCGTATACGGGTGGTTCATGCACAAGGGGCTGCAGTAATTATAGGATGCAGTCGCCATGCTACCGCATACCTATGAACATGCACGGCTCCCCCCTTTCATCCGGGATCGTTGCGCTTGGTGTGCTAATTGTTTGATGGCCGACATTCACGTCGTTAATTGCTGCAATTTAATCACGTGCGTTGGATGTTGGTGTGATGATTGCTCGACCGTCTGACGCATCGACCCTGGTGTTGGAAGGGGGAAGCCGTGACTGTTCATAGGTATGCGGTAGCATGGCGACTGCATGCTATAGATACTGCAGCCTCTTGCGCGTGAACCACCCGTATCTGCTGTTGTCTCTGACGGTGGATTCGAGCAGGAATCCGAAACGTCAGGCTATCAAGCTCTTGTACCAGCGATCGTGTCTCCTTCTTCAAGACTACTTCCTGGGACTCGTCTCTTCGCTTCCATTGGCATTGTCTTTCTCTTTATTGAAAGGTTGTCCATCTTCTTCAAATCCAGCCTTCGTCAGGCACTTTTTGGCAATTCCGATATCTACTTCACGATCTGTCCTCACAAAAAGTACAGAAACCCCATAGTCTCTGCCATCTAGTTTAGTCAAATCACTGCGAGTCTGAGCGTTATTGCCCACCAGATGATAAGACGCTAATTACTATGATGCAGCTATATATTGGATACTTACGGATCTATAGTTTTGTACTGGTGCAATAAAAGCGCTGGTTGACATTAACACTTCGCGGATAGTTTGTTTCTTCTCTTTTGACTGGCGTTAGTACTCCGAAGACATTCATTCTGTTCATTGAAGGATGGGTCCATGTATATTCTACAGGCATCTCAAGCGAAACTATCCAATGCACTGAGCCCCGCCCCCAACGGACTGGACTGGACCAAGACAGAAGTCAAGTTGGCTTGCAGCACGCGTTAATCAGGCTGCGCAGACCGCCCAGGGTGACAGTTATTCTTTAGAAGACACGATCGCTGGGGCAAGAGCTTTATTCGCCTGACGTTTCGGACCCCTACCTTGACCCATCATCAGAGAAGAAGACAGATACGGGTTACTTTTGCCTCTGACGATGGGTTCGAGCAGGAATCTGAAACGTCAGGCGAATAAAGCTCTTCTTCCAGCTATCGTGTCATCTTCTTCTTTACGACTACTTCATGAAACTAGTCCCTTCGCCTCTACTGACGGGAATTACTGCTAGACAAAGACTTTCACGCTGAGTTAACAATTCCACTATGGCCATAGTGAATGGAACAAATTATTTCCAAACATCGGACGACAGGGAGTTTGTGTGCACGTGTGAGGGGAGGGTCAAAGTACGTTTTCTTGACATTGGACGCAGGTTTTACAGCGTCCGTGCAACAGCGGTCTTGCGGAGAACAGGTGGTTGCAGGTAATCCGTCAGCACACTATCGACACTCACTGCACTTGTTACGCTGCAGTTTGTACTGTTTTGTTTAACTTTTGCATGTGCATGAGGGGTGGACTTATTGTTACCCGACTAGGTTTGGACAAGCATGGTAGCCCTGAGAAATAGCCTTACTGGTACTGCCAATATCTTCCAACTTCACAACTCTGAGTCATTCGAAAGTTATTTGATTTTGTAGGTCCAGAAAATGCCCCTTTTGGGGGAAACGTTGTGCCGCAAAGGATTAAATAAACAAGTGACTGGATGTGTACACTTTCGGGCCGTAAACGCATCCCAATAACTGTCTATGGACGCGTCTTATGGGTGTAAAGAATGAGGTCAAATAGTTCTCGCAAACATGTTCTGTTTGCGGAGTTTCTGTTAGCAACATGAATCTCCTGCCTCTTTAGGCGCATAAAGTTCACTTTATAGCATGAGTTCATTCAGTAGGATTGGATTTGTATGACGGATCTCGGCAGCCTGGCATCTTGGTTACGTATAGCGGCCAGTAAACGCATTTCTCTATGCTGCATGCCATCTGAAGCATACGCAAGGTGGTTTTAAAGCTTCGAAAGCAAATAGAGACCGACTTAGATCTTTGTAGTAGGCAAGGAGCACAAATCATCCCCCAACTGCCCATACAAGCCCACTACCATACGTTGGACAATCACGAGTCGAACCTGCCACCATCCCTCCAGGCCGTTCTCAGAGCCGACACGGTGGTTTCTTGCCCACGGGGCGCCCGCGCTTCTACCGTAGAGTACAGGGGTAGGGGACGCTCTGTGTGTTGGCCGTGATATCTGATCACATTCATGATGATCTTCTTCACTGGTAGCGTCGATGAGCCGTTTGCGTCAGTTCAACTGTTAGACCTTTGGCGTTTGCTCGATATCCACCCAGTGCAAGGACAGTTCCATGCCAACAATGGCAGCAGAATGCTGCCTGTGACGGGCCGCACAAAAATAGGTACGCAGAATAGCATTCCAGGCAAAGACAAGGGAGACTGGAATGGTCATTCCTGGTTTGGTAGCCGACATCAACTAGAAATACACCAAGTATGCAATCCTCGATGCTCGAACTCGTGACCTGTTGGTTGGAACTCCGACGTCCTAACAAGTGAGTCACGGGTTCGTTGTCCTGTCTGTTTCGCTCGGGTATATACAGTGGTAGAGGGGCGCACACCGATCATGTTGCAGAACCTACTCCTCCCGGTGTTACTTGGGGCTCTCTTTAAAGCCCTGTTTTTATGAAACATCTTCTCCGAGTCAACAATTTCATTCTTGGTTTCAAAGGAAATATGCAACGCCGACTCGAATTAAGTGATGGTAATATTATGAAAATTACGGCAAATAGATTCTTAGTCGATTAGTGCGATTCGTGGGCTCGATTTTGAAGGTTAGGTGACTGGAAACACGGTTATATACTCGGCTGACAAGCATAACTTTCCCCACCTACCATGCAGAAATGTTTGCAGTTCTTGGATACAATTTATGTCCGAACCGAAAATCAAAACTACAGAACATTTTTGATTGTTTTCTCCCTAAAAACCTCGGATAACCCTCGTTTACCAAACGAATCCTTGTGAGAGGAATCGTTCCAATGACCAATGAGAGACCCATCCCCGGCTACCGTCAGACAAATGCATCCACGACCCACTTACAACCCTTCGCTCTAATTGGAAGGTGTTCGGTGAATGGAGTAGTGAAATCCTCCAACTCTTCCTGAAAGTCTCGTCTTGTAACTTTTTGTAAGGAGTCACCTTCTGAGGAGCTATCTTGACGTGGAGTACTCGTCTCCGTAATTCACACTTGTAACCTCTTTTTGGAATGTCTTACCTTTCCCTAATTGTGCTTTCTTTTGCGCCTCACAAACCCAAATTGTCTAGATGGTCGTTGGAAGAAGTCACTTCAAGACGTCACATACTGGACTGAGACAATCCCAACTAGCGTTTAGTTTGCGGGAAGATAACATATACGTGCTCCTATATTTTCCAAAGACATCACATTCTCTTATGATATAACAGACACTTGAGGTCCGACTCTCTTATTAAAACGCAATAGACTCACATTCGTATGTTTGACAACTTGAACAACTGCATTTGTTGTCTATAAATGTCGTTTGTGTGGAGTCTTCGGTATAGGTTGATGGGAACAAGTTTGCTCCGGCCTAGGCAAATTCACTCGAAAGTCACCACTGCGCCTGCCTCGGGACAGCGTTCGTCATTGTCGCTCTCAGCGGACAAGGTCTCGGCATGCTAGTTGGCCGTCGTTCAGTCGCCTCGCTTCTTAATTCACTTCTAGTCGCCATACAACCGATATTATGCGAGCCCGTTAGTGCAGTGATGAGAGTATTACTCACTGATCAAATGACTCCCAGCTCGAGTCCCGGGGATTGGGGTAGAACCAGTTGATAGCGGAAATGACCATTCCAGTGCCTCCGCATCAGTCAGTAAGAGCTGTCCACTTACTGATTATTAGTTTCCATGCTTCCGTCTGAATCAGCCGCAGACCGTCCACACTAGGACAGAGCGGAAAAGCTCTCTACCTTCTGGCAGTCAGGGTAGATTGGAGCAGGCCACTCTCACGAGACTTAAACCAAAGGTCCTCAGCATTTGGGGATGAACGAGTTGTTAGAATATATGGCCTCTGAGAATTCTCGGCCTTTGTAGATGAAAAAACCTATAAGGCCGGTCTTGTTCCAGGCGAATTTGTGTCCGGTTTCGAAAATAGGCATGGCAACTTAGGACAAGTGGTCTCATTTGAGGACGACCTATGGAACTAGTCGGAAATTTACGAAATAAAGTTTCCTACCTTCCCCAAAGAACTCATTCCTCTCGATATATACGTATACCAGCCGTCCCCAGCCAGTCTTACCCGGCTATAAACTTTGAACACGGGTTCCGTTGGTTGCTGGTCGTCAGTATAAGGTCATAACCATTGGACCACGGGCTCGTTGCTGGGCCAAACACTGCCCGCAACCTAATTGGTGAAGGACCTTCTACCATAATGTTTCTGATCGCAACCGACAGGACAACGACCCCGCAGCCCAATGGTTAGAGCGCTGGACCTACTGATTCTATATACTCAAAAAACCCCTGTCCTAACCTTAGGTGTCCACACACCTAGGGCTGGGTAGGACTGCCAGAAGACGACCGACGAGCCAGAAACAACCACTCCGGTCTCCCTTGACTTCGTCCCTATCACCTAACCCATATATGTTGCTAACGCTTCCCGTGGGGGCTCTGGATTGAGCCCCAAGGCACGACGAGACGAGAACGCATCGGTGAGCGCCCCTCCAACACGACATACACCGCTTGTATCCAAATATCAGTATAGTTGAAAAGATAACGAAAATGCATGATCACATTAACAGGATACTGAAAACTGCTCACTCAAAACTTCCTATCAGATATGAACAGTCGAGTTCGCGGCAGATATTAGGACAGCGGATATGGGTCCGGCATGCTGGTAAAGAAAGAATGTCAATCGTAGCAAAAGACCGGAGGAATGGGGTGTGAAAGTGACTTGACACTAGAGATAAAAGATAAGTATTATGTTAGTTTCCAAGCCCTCCGAGAGGGCGGGGCACTTCGGGGTGGAGGAAGGGGAGGACGCAGGTGGGAATTGAAAGGCGAGATAACGTCATGGCATGGTGGAGACAATATGCAATTGTCGACGCACTCGGTCTGACAGAAGCGCCAGCTTGTACAGCGGCACGCCGTGCTTAAACAGCGTCGGCAGCGATAGAGGATACCGTGTGTAGTCGATCTTGTTCTCGAAAATCTAAATGAGGAAGGAGCAGACAGGGGAGGCATTACAGAGGCCAACAAGTAGCGGCATGTCATGTAAACATGGTGAAAGCGTGGTAAACGTAAAAGACAGAGGTAAACTAATGTACTAGAGTTCTTATATTATTAGTGGCAGGAGACAGCCGTGGACAGCAAAAACAAAGGAGGCCAGAAAGGGCATTTCTGGTTTAATTTCCGTTATTGACCGGTCAGAGGACGACTCCGGGCGACAGAACAGCAACAACAACAGTGACATTCGTAGTGATAGTGGTATTATTATTATTATTATTATTAGTGGTGGTAGTAGTAGTAGTAG